CCCTCAAACTGAGGGGCAGAAGGGAGAATGGACCCTCTGGGGTGTCCAATTCACTGCAACCCCTCAAACTGAGGGGCAGAAGGGAGAATGGACCCTCTGGGGTGTCCCAAGGGACTGAAACCCCTCAAACTGAGGGGCAGAAGGGAGAATGAACCCTCTGAGGTGTCCCAATGGGTTGAAGCTCCTCGAGCTGAGGGGCAGAAGGACAAGTGAACCCTGTGGAGTGTCCTAATTCCCTGAAACCCCTCAAACTGAAGGGCAGAAGGGAAAGTGAATCCTCTGGGGTGTCCCAATTCACTGAAATCCCTCAAACTGAGGGGCAGAAGGGAGAGTGAACCCTCTGGGATGTCTCAAGGGGCTGAAACCCCTCACACTGAGGGGTGGAAGGGAGGACGAACCCTCTGGGGTGTCCCAATTCACTGAAACCCCTCAAACTGAGAGGCAGAAGGGAGAATGAATCATCTGGGGTGTTCCAGGGGACTGAAACCCCTCAAACTGAGGGGCAGAAGGGAGAATGGACCCTCTGGAGTGTCCCAATTCACTGAAACCCCTCAAACTGAGGGGTGGAAGAGAGGACAAACCCTCTGGGGTGTCCCAGGGGACTGAAACCCCTCAAACTGAGTGGCAGAAGGGAAAGTGAACCCTCTGGGGTGTCCCAATTCACTGAAACCCCTCAAACTGAGGGGCAGAAGGGAGAATGAACCCTCTGGGGTGTCCCAGGGGACTGAAACCCCTCACACTGAGGGGCAGAAGCGAAAGTGAACCCTCTGGGGTGTCCCAATTCACTGAAATCCCTCAAACTGAGGGACAGAAGGGAGAATGAACCCTCTGGGGTGTCCCAAGGGACTGAAACCCCTCAAACTGAGGGGCGGAAGGGAGGACGTACCCTCTGGGGTGTCCCAGGGGCCAAGCCGTGGCTCCAACAGCCCCATTCCATGATTTCCCGTGGGATCCCGGGGCCGCTCACCTTGGTCTGGTACCAGGCCTCGGCCTCGGCGCGGCTGCGGTTGGCGATGTCCTCGTACTGCGCCTTCACCTCGGCGATGATGCTGCTCAGGTCCAGGTCG